TCAAAAATTATTGCATTTTCCCTCAAATTGTATTTTTCGGATTCCTCTGTGAATATACTCATTTTGTCCTCGATCCTGGAGGCATCTTGGTTTAAATTCATCCTTTAAAAAAGGAGAAGGGGTACGTATGTGGAGGCAAAATATTCTCTTGAAGCAAACAGATACAGAGTTGCTAGAAGAAGCTGATTGTAAACACAAGCTGCCTGGTTGGGAAGGGGAGGGCTGTTGACTTAGACACGTGTGACAGCCTTTGGTGGATGGGAACAGGCAAAGCCCCACCAGGCCCTTCTTCCTTGGCAGGGTCAGGACTGAGCCAGCGGAGGTGGAGCTTCATCTTCCCCTTGGAACTCGTGTTTTTGGTTTTCCTCCAAAAGCCTTCATCCAGATAAGAAGCCAATGACTGATGGTACGTGGGCCTCTCACTGTTGTGGCCTCTCCCATTGCGGAGCACAGTCTCCGGACGCACAGGCTCAGCGGCCATGGCTCACGGGCCCAGCCGCTCCGCGGCATGTGGGATCTTCCCGGAGCGGGGCACGAACCCATGTCCCCTGCATCGGCAGGCGGACTCTGAACCACTGCGCCACCAGGGAAGCCCCATCTTCTTGAATTTATACTCATGCAGCTCTTTGCTCCAAATGCACAATGTAAATTATACGTAAAATATAAATTATAAAAGATATTAAATAATAACTGTATAAAAAGGGAAGACAAAATGTCACAATGCTTAAATGTAGGTAAACATCCCGGCAAAAGGGTGAGCAGGACTTAGGTGAAGGGTTTGCCGGGCTCTCAGCCAGAAGCTGAGTTGGTGGGCGGTGGCCATGTGCGCAGCCCCGGTGAAATATAAGAGCTTTAACTGCTCCGCCTGAGATGGGAAGGAGACCACCATCACCACAAACTGCTTAGAGCCTTAACTCTGCATGACTTTCAGCCCTAGGAAGGTTGCAAAGTAAGGACTCAGCTTCTCATGCGAGCGCTCAGCCAATCTGCCAGACTGGCTCTGTGATAATTCCTAACGTATTTTCAACGTCACTAGGAGAGGCAATTTTGAACCATCTTAGCAAGTCCTGTCCTGAAATGAGGTCCCACAGTGTGGTCAGGAAAAAACTGCAAAAACTACAAAGAGTGGGTGCACACAGAGAGAAAAAGGGAGGAAAGGGACAGGTAAGAGAAATTAAAAGAAACTAAAAGGAAGTCACACTCAAATCAAGCCTGTAAATTATTATTCCAAAATCCATAAAGAAATATAATACCAAGAAAGACAGCAAAATAATTACAACAGGAGTTCACTCTGGATAAGTTTGTTAGGACAGTGCTATGAAATGAAGGTGTCCCCTTAAAATTCATATGTTGAAGCCCTAACCCCCCAGTGCCATGGTATTTGGAGGTGGCACATTTGGGAGGTAATTACGTCATGAGGATAAGGTCCTCATGACGGAACTGATGCCTTTATAAAAAGAAAAAGACACATAAGATGTGAGGATACAGAGAGAGGGTAGCCATCTACAAGCCAAGAAGAAGATTCTCACTAAGAACTGAATCTGCCAGCACCTTGATCTTGGACTTCCCAGCCTCCAGAACTGTGAGAAATACGTTTGTTGTTGAAGCCACCCAGCCTATGGTATTTTGTTATAGCAGCCAAACTGACGAAGATAGGCAGTCTGACCTACTTTTTAAAATAAGCATGTTACTTACTGCCTTTGGGCATTTTCACCTGGAAATCTCATAGGCACTTTAATTGAACTCATATAATCATAAACTCCTCTTGGGATCTGTTTCTTGTCACATGTTCCCTGTTTCAGCGAGTGACACTACCATTTAGCCAGTTATGCGAAGGAGAACACTGGGGGTCACCCTTCAACCCTCCCTCACGCACAAACCACTCTCTATCAAAAGATAAGTGGAATCAGCCATTAAGTTCAGTCTAGTACAGCTCCTAAATATGTCCACATTTGCATGATTTTTCCATCTGTACCACCTTAACTTTAGTTCAAGCCACTATTATTACTTCCCTAGACCACTGCCAAGATCTTCTATTTCTTTTCCTTCCCTTCTTGTGTTTCTCCCACATGGAAATAAAACATTGACCCTAGTTAACTCCAGGGGAAAAGGAAAGGGAGTGGAGTTAGGCAGTGCTCTTCAAGTGTATTTGTGCAACTTCTGACTCTTTAAAAATGAAGATTGAAACAAACATGACATAATAAGATCAGATAAAGTTGAGTGGTTGATTTACAGGGGTTTGTTATTGCATTCTCCTTTCTTCTGGGACCTCTGCAATCTTTTCCAGTGAAAAAGTGTAAAACTAAAATAACACGACAACAAAATAAAATAAAGTAAAATAAAATAAAATGATTGCTACTACCTGTTTGTAACCTTTTTACTATGGGAATCAATGTGGTAATAAGTTTCTTAACATTTGGTATAAGTATGTTACTTTTTGAACCTAGAAATTCCATCTACAAATTAAAATTTAATGAGATCATTCTTTACATGGGCCCAAAGATGCACATCAGAGGATGATGATCAATAAGGAACTGGCTAAGGGAATTTTGTTTTGTCTTGCCAGTGAAATATAATGTATCCGCAAAAATGATAGCTATGGAGACTGAATAACACATGGAATGGTACCCACGTTATGATGTTAAGTGAAAACATGTGTATATGTACATAAATACATCCATATGCGCACAACTATATACATCTATGATGAGAGAAAATAATATTGAAAGGCAATAAAGCAAAGTACCAAAGTGCATGTATGATAGGGTGGTGACTTTAACTTTTCAGTAACATATTTAACTTAGTTTTATAATATAGAAAGTTTTAACTTAAAGGAAATAAAAATACATCATTGAATGATTCAGTGTTTCTGGCAGTCTTCCATCTTTATATTTAGCAGTGAGTGTCTTATGTGAATATTAACATTTCATTCTCTATGTCTGAGAGCGTGAAGGTAGATATGCTGTCATCGTTCTCTGCCAGAATTAAGAGAGCTCACTGCCACTCAAATAGATAGCATGGCTGAAATTCAGGTAAGCACATGGGCACTATGATAGCTTCTGTTAAGGTTTAAAAACCTTAAGAGTGACATATGCCCAAGTCAGGCAGAGATGCTCCTGAAGGATCAGGCTGTATCAAAGCCAAACGCCCGCTGTTTGGTAAGGCTGTTTCATTTCCTTGCTAAATACGAATATATCTTTATGATCACTGCACAAATCAGCCATTTATATTGTATTTCCCATGCTCTGAAATACTACACAAGCAATGCAAAGGGTCCGGCCCATGCTGAAATAGAAGGGGGTGTGGGGTGGATAATCTCGTGTTTCTCTGAGAAGGCCCTGCTCAGGCAGGACTGGCTGAGTTTCTCTCCATGGTGTCCTGGAATAAATGATTTAAACTTAAAGCTTAAACCTGTACGTCACTGCAAAAAAGAGAACAAAAGGGATGCAAAATCGTAAAAGTATTTGTGAACTACAGTCCCGATGACCTCATTTTCCTCCCAACTTCTCCTCAGGGAAATATTTTTCACCTACTTATTTTCTGCTTAAATTGCTTTTGCTTCTCAGCAGAAAGATCCCATCCCTCCTGGGCAGCAGTGGGAAGAGCAGGGCTGACTCTTACTGATGCCCCTTACGGCTGCTGCCAGATTTGACCTGGACAGATTTCCAGAGGTTTAGGATTTTCAAGATGTCACACATTTTGAAATGAACATAATTCCTGTGATTTCTAAAAGGGAGCTGTTGGTTTTCTATACTGAAGGAGCGAAAGAAAGAAATCAGTAATACAAAAATTGTTCACAAGGCTGATGGGTCACGACTCAATGTCTGTCCCTGGATCTCTTTCCACGACTACTACCTGGGGGCTGGGGGTGGGCGGGTCGAAAGAGCAAGTGAACAAATAGAGCAAAGTACACGAGAGGGAAGCCAGGGAGGTGGAGGCTGTGCTCTCCTGACCCCTTCTCTCCATCACTTTGATTCCCTTTGCTATATTGCTGATTCTGGCACTTCAGCCAATAGCTGCCCTAGTTTTATAGGCAGCAGTAACAATAGAGGCAGAAAGTTCCCAAACAGACTTGGACAGGATCCAAAAGGAGAAAGAGAGGCCGAGTCTACTATTAAAGCCCCCAAATGAGTGAAAAGCCCCAAGTACCAGAACAGCCCCGACCCCTGCCCCCAGAGGCCCCAGAAATGTTCATCTAGCACTGTGGCCACAAGAGTCCGCACTCTACAAACACATACTCCTTTACAGTCCCCAGCCTCTCTCTGCAGTTGGATTGTGTCCACAGGGCTGAGGCCAACCAAAGAAACATGAGCAGAAGTGATTTGCGTCACTCCAGGCCAAGGCCGTTAATTAAGGGCCAGTCTGCCTCTTCAATTTCTCCCTATCCCTGTGGGGCAATTTCAGATGTCTCAGCTACAAGACGAAGCAGGGCCATCTAATCTGTGCCAGATTTAGACTGGGTTAAAAATAAACCTTCATTGTGTTCTGAAGATTTTGTTTTCTTTGTTACCATAGCAGAACTTGTCCCATCCTGACACACTTGACAGCAAGGAACCTCTCCAATGCTTGATTTATGAGAGAAAACTGTTTCTCTTGTAGCTATGAAAAACTGGTAAATTGGAGACAGAAGAACACTGAGCTAGGAATTAGGAGAGATGGTTATGGTCTGGATTTGGCCGTGATTTAAAGGTTATCTCTGGTGGGTGGTTTGACTTTTGTGGTCCTCAGGTCCTCAACCAGAGAAGTTATAAACCTTTCTGGTCTGCTTTTTAAAAAAAAACATGTAACCCTTTCTGCAAACAAAACCTTTCATGAAGGACAGTATGTAAAACTGATAAAAGAAAAAGTGCCTCTTTCTTTAGACCATGACCAACACATTTACTCCCTATTGAGGCCCCTGGGCCATCTTTGTGGAACCCTGCAGACCTAGGGGCGAGAGTGCAAACTGCTGGCCTATTCTGAAGCTGACGTGGATTCATAGAGAGAGGAGCTGTTCTCACCCATCCCACACGTTACACTGCACTCTGTCCAGCGGCCATACTGCCAGAAATACACCAGCTTTTCGACGTCATTGTCAAGGCCATCTTTCCGGATTGTGTACTCATACTTGATGCCAGGGTTAGTCACCTGGAATAGAAGCTAAAGGACAAGAGCGGGGTCATGTCAAACTCTGTTGTGACTTTATACTGCAAACCACAGTCATATAAAAATGCTGTACAATGTCCATCATCTTAAAGTAGTCATGGAGGTGTGCACTGGAATACATACCATTAAAGAAATACCTCTACTTCCAACTGCATGTCTACATATGTCTATAGTTAATCTGCTGCTATTCTATTATTTCTTGACTGAATTCTCATGGGTATTCATGGGAGGCCTAATCATATGGGAATTACTCTGAGGGAACGACCAGAGTGTCCTTTCCAACAATAGGCTGGTAGGTCACCTTGTGCCCTTGTGTACTTACTAACTTTGTGGTTATGGGTAAGTTACTTAATCTCTTTGTGCCTTACTTTCCCCATCTACAAAGTGAGGATAATCATAGCATGACTAATAGGGTGCTTTTAAGGGTTAAACAAACGAAAGTAATGTGACTAGATATGATTAGATCGGTGTTGGCATATAGCTAGCACTCAGTAAACAGTAACTTTTGTTGCCGTTGTTGTTGCTTTATGGTGCCCTCTCTAGCTCTCAGGCCGATTAGTTTTCTTGAAAGCATATAGTTCTGGGATTAAAATGGTCATGGGTTTTAGCCAAGGAATAAAACTGGAGACAGAATTTGGGACCCTCCCCTCACTTCCCTCTCCTGCAGGCAATCTACTTATCACATGTTTGAAATGGATTAATCTCACACTTAGAAGTGGTAGACTGGTTGCTCCATGGTGCGGGCCTATAAGATGTAAGGTCTCCTGACATTTACGGATCATAGCTGTCAAGCACTGACCTCCAGCTTCTGTGAATGCTCTGATCTCTGGCTCTGAAATGACTTCCTTCTAACTGCTGAATTATGGTTAGATGTGACTGTCTTGGGCCATCCATCAGCCCCAACCTGCCTTGCTCTGCTGCTATAATTACCCCGCTCTTTTCTACAGTTCTTTGCTAGTATGAAAGACAAATCACTTGTGCCTTTGAAGAGCACATGCTACATCTTTACCCCTCTCTTCTCCAAGAGTTTCACGAAGTCAAACTTTTTGCCTGAGGACAACCCCATGATAACATGTGAAAGAACCATGTCAATTCATCACCACTGCTGGAAAGCTGTTTGGAAACTCATACCAGGCTGACATAGACTGGCAGCATCCATTTTATACCTGAGGAACACACACTGAAATAAATAGCCTGTCAACCATACTGGAAACTAAATTCAACAGATGATTTTAGGGCACGTGGCATTTCATCACAAGGGTTTTGCCAATTTTAGGCAATAAAGGATTAGCAGCATAAACTAATATCTCACTTCTCTCCCTGTTCCTTGCTGAGAGAAGGTTTAAGGATTCTTTTTTTTTTTTTTTTTTTTTTACAGCCTCTCACTGTTGTGGCCTCTCCCGTTGCAGAGCACAGGCTCCGGACGCGCAGGCTGAGCGGCCATGGCTCACGGGCCCAGCCGCTCTGCGGCATGTGGGATCTTCCCGGACCGGGGCACGAACCCGTGTCCCCTGTGTGGGCAGGCGGACTCTCAACCACTGCGCCACCCGGGGAAGCCCCTAAGGATTCTTTTTTTTTTTTTTTAAGGTTTCTTAATGAATATCCCCTAGCAAACACCTTGGTAAAGAAAATTAGAAAGATCCTAACTAGTGCACATGTCAGCAGTTTCCTTTGCTTCTGCATTACCTGGATCCACACTGACTCATTGGTGGGACCTGTGGCCATCAGTTTCTCCAGGTCTCCTTTCCTGTCATATTGAAAGATGGTCCCTGCCAGCTTGTAGTTCCCATTCCACTGGATAATAAATCCTCCATTGAGGTAATATTTTTCAGGGTCTTCACTCCTGATGGCCAGAAAGTTTCCAGCTCCCTCAACCTCCATTACCCGTATGTCCCTGGCTCCTTTTGGAATCAGCCCGATGTCAACATAACCTAAGGAGAGAAGAGAGGCATGCAAGCTTAGTTGAACACAGTCCGTTTCTGACTCATCATCCATCCTCTTCCCAGCATCTCCATCAGTTTAGTGCCCTTGCCTTCCTGCTGGGTGGTTACTGGGACTGGCAGATGCACTAATTACGGTGAACTTTAAAAGCTTGGCCATGAGTAGAATTCTCAGGAGCCCTGTGACTCATTATGTAATCAGTTTTATGAGAGGAGAGGTGAAATAAATGCAGATTGAACCCTGAACCTTTTGTGGTTGATCCAGCATTTATTTTTCTGCGATTTTCTGTTGACAGTTCAAAACGTTACAGCCCCTAGCCAGCTTCCTATTAGCATTTCTGCTTCCCCATTTGTTGCTGCTATCAGATTAATCTCCCTAAACATTTCAGTGGCTATATCCTTTCGCTCACCCTCATTTCCTGAAAATTAAAGACAGACTCTTAGAAGTAATTTAGTCATAGCTTAAATTCATTATGAGAATTCTGGAGGGAATCTTGGATTGATTGCCACCTGGTGCTCTTGAATACAGCTTGTGATGAGAAACTCAGCTCTGAGCACAGCTTTTTATATTGCTGGACAATTACATTCATTAGAAAGGGTTTTTTCACATTTTTTCTTATGTTTTGATGAAATATAAACTTCTGTTGTTCTCATGTGTTCTAATCCAACATTCTGAAAAAGCACAGAGGACATCTACTTAAAGACCATGATCAATTCTAGCTACAGTCTTATCCTTGCTTATTGGTTGTTACGGTAGGAGACCTACTGGGGAGAAAAGGAATGAACACATAATGGCTTCCTCTCTTTGCCAGGCTCTAGGCTAAGCCCTTTATGCACTCATCCTGTTTATGCTTCAAAAGAACCATCATCTCATAGCTGTGATAGAATGGAAAGACGCTGGGGCTGGCATTGGGCAAGGAGTACTGGGGCATCGGAGTCAGACATCCGATTCTAGTTTCTACACTGCCACGAACGAGCTCCATGATGTCCACTGACTTATCTAACTTCTTTGAATGTCATCTGCACAATGAAGGACGTTGAATGAGATGAGAGCTTGAATGAGATGATGTCTGACATCCCTCCCAGCCCTACTAATCGATTATTTTGTCCTTTTCTAAGCTAAATTTTCTCTGTTCCTTTACCTTTTCCATACAAAACTTGATTTTAAGACCTTGATCATTTTCCACTGGATATACACTAAGGTTTTTTTTGACTAACAAACACACCCTCATCTCTGTCACCTAAAAGTGCCCTGACTGCTCTCTTTCCCTCAGACATTAACATAGCATGGGATCCTGGGAGTTAAAACCCACATCTGGCCAGCAGGAACGATTTACTCAGAAGCTGGGTACAGACCACAACCTCAGCTCTGTTTTTTCGAACTGGCAGCTCCCACCCAAAGGAGGGAAGTATGCAGCCTGAAGTGCTTGATTAAATTCCACGGGGCCCTCACACACTTGCCTGACACAGCTGATTGAAACTATTCAGTTCCAACTAGCTCAGGGAAAATATTTAATCACATGTAATTGAGGGTGATGCCATTGTTTAAAATGCCTTTGGAGCATTGCTCCCTGCAGCATAGCAGAGCTTCTCATAGCATAAAGTCAACTAGCATTAAAGAATATGGCAACCACCATATGCCTTGTTTAAAAGCAAACAAAAACCAAAAGCCAAAACAAAAACCAGTGAGAACTAGATGAGAAAAAACCCCAGAAGAGTTTGCCTTTTATCTTCCTCTTAAGAAAATCTAAAATTAGAAATATTTTGTGTAGATTCTGTCTTATCAAAAGGCAAAGTACATCAAATTTAAAATAAAAGCTTTCACTGAATGTAATTGCTGCTTCCGAACAGTTTGTAGAAAGAAGACGTAAACGGAGGCAGATTTAGCCATGAGCAAAAGCAATACATATTTGTAATATATTTTTGCAAAAGAATACCTAAGAGGAACCCAAAAGATAAAATTGTGGTGTTTGGAGTCGAAATGAACCATAACATAGCCACCAGACTCCTTTACACATGACAAAATAACCCACAATAGAGAGGAGTATAAAATGAAAAGTAAAAGTTTCCATTTCCCTCCACCCAGAGTCCTATGTCCCGAAGATAATTACAGTTAATAGTTTCTTGGATTCTCTTCCAAAACCTTTCTTTGCATGTATAAACACACATACACATACTTTTTTTAAACAAGTGAGATCATACTATGTGAACTATTTTAACTATTGCTTTTTAAATTTAATATACCTTACATATCTTTCCACATTTTTTTTTAGCATTTCAACAACTGCCAAAATGACATAAACCCATTTATTTAATAAGCCAACTGTTAATGGACATTTAGGTGGAAGGGAATGACCATCAATCTCTTTATCTATAAAATGAGGAAACTGAGTTCCCAAGAGAGGAAGAAATCTATGCCACATCACACGGCCACACACACACACACACACACACACACACACAAAACACACACACACACACACACACACACACGACACACATATCTATAACCAGGCTTTGCTAACCAACTCCTAATACAGCATTTTTAATGAAAAAATGTGATTGGTAGAACAGAGATGAAAAAAATCCCCTTGAATGTCTCATCCTCATGGGTCTTCTTTACAGAAATGAGAATCATATTAAAAAGTTGTAGGGGGTGAAGGGTTATTGAGACATTCATTCTATGTCAAGGTCAGATTTTCAGGGTTGGTAAGAATATCTCCAAAGTATTAAGAACGATGAATATATTCATTCAGTAAATCACTTTTCTTCCATTTTCCTCAGTAAACACGATTCTTTTGCACCAGTATTGGGGGAAGTGGAAAACATAATCTTGACCTCAAAGAAGGAGCCTCTAGGCCCATGGAGACCACCTGGAGAAACCAGCCCATTACTGAGTTGAACACCTTGAGCTAAAATAATATTCAGGGCCTTTGAGGATGGAGCAGAAGACTGGTCTCACTTCTGAAGACATATCATAAGAGTGACAATGGATTATTGGTGCTAATGTGCATCTTATTCAACTATTCTAAAAAAAGGATTTATCCACTGGCATATTTGGTTTCTAGTCTGTCACTTCAAATAAAAATGTGTTTATAAAGAGGTCATACTATTAACCCAGGCAATTTAACTACAACTACCAGCTTGTCTTTTTTTTTACGATTTGTGCTGTCACCGTGTGGCAAGCAAGACAATCCTCACTGCAGGCCAAGATGCCATGGTTTCTGTGAGGGGGCTCCTGGGAAAGACAGATCCATCTTCTGAAGCCTGGCTTGACAGCAGTGACGCGTTGCTGTCGGGTTCAGATCCAAAACTGCATTTGACCTGCTCACAAATCACAGTGAGGAAGAGTTAGGTAAAACTACATTCGCCAGGCAGATGTACTGAGAATTAAACTGCCCTGGATTTGGAGTTTTAGCCTCAATTATTTCAAAAGAGGGTTCTAAGGGGTCTGGAGTCTTGGAACACATGGTGAGCAACCATAATCCTCTTGCTAGAAACCAGTGGAAACATAGCAGAGGGAATAGAGACCGACAGGGGCTTCCTGACCCTAAATGCTTCCTCACAGCCCTGAGCCCTGGAGGTCTTTTAGCTCTTTTGATGGGAAAACTCCCGTGTAAAGTGTCCAGTCACTCTCCCTACCCCTTCCAACTCAAGGTTTCCTGGAAAGCATGACATAGGACAGTCCCCAGGTAAGGTGGTATTTTGGTAAACATGGTTTCAAGAAAGCCATGTCCTCTCTTATCATTAAGTCCTACCTTCTGCCTCTGATTCTGTCTCTGGAATGTTTTCTTATATGATTCTCATCCCCTTTACATGAATTTCTTTAGTCCAGGTCCTTATCTCCTGAACCTGGGTTAATGTTTGGGTTCCCAGCACTGGGCTCTCCTATTCTGGGCAACTTTGTATGTTGCTGGCAAACCAGTCTTTCTATGACACTGATCTCCTCACGTCATTCACCCTCCCTAAAATCTTAGAAAGGTCCCTATTTTCTCTTGAATCCACAGCAAAGAAATTGAACCTTACGGAACAGCCTAGGAGCAACTTTGAGTCATGAAGCCGTATCATTTCTTCCTAAAAGGGTCTCATGTCCCACCGCCCAGACTTGTATGGACCCTACACCCACACTGCGGCCACAGCCCTCCGGCCTGTGCTGTGAGTGTTCTTAACGGGTTCCATTCATTCACGATCATTTTCATTTTGTCACAGAGCCTAGGGAGCCGCAAACAAAAGTCCAGAACATGCCTCATTACGGGATTAAGATGGTAATTTTAGCATAATTTGTAATTGTTGTCAATTCCTAACTCTATATGAAGTTAATCTTTTGACCATAAAGATCAGTGGCAGAGTCTAGGGAGCTACAGCCGGAAGAACTAAGCACATAAACACACAGAATCAAAAGTAGATGGGATCCAGGTGGTCAGGTACACACATAATTCCAGGCAGCTGCTGCTTTTACTCCATTTCAGGAATCTCCTATTCTAAAGATATGGATTCTGGCAGCAAGAGTTGAAAAACAGGGACATTGTGTCTTTCCTCTGCTTTTTAGATTATAGATTTTTTTTCCAACATGCTGAATTGTAAAAGTGAAAAATTGTATGTGAGCTATATCAGACAGTGGAAATTGAATTAACTTCTTGTGCCAAAAGACTTAAAATTACTATGTGCATCAAATCTACTCAATAGATATACAAATGTATCATTTAAAATATAAAATTAAAGGTGAATTTTATACGGTAACTGTTCTAGTTCCATAAAAAGATTTCAAACAAAAGTTGAGCACGTTCTGGTTATGATTAAATAAAAGAGGTAGGAATCAAGGCTGGTGGTTTGGGCACTGAGTTAAGTGACACAATTAGTCATAGGAGAGTGCCAGAATGCTCAGAAAATGTGGTCCCTTGTTCCCAGCATCAAAACAAAGCAGGCCAGTGTGTATAAGACCAGGACTTGATTCAGTGGTCAGAGGGCCTGGCATTGGTGAGGTCTAGAGAAGCCAATTAAGGCCAGAGGAGTCTAGAGTGGTAGTTTTAGGAAGTCAATGGATTAAGTCCAAATTTTGGTGATGTGTGCTAGGGAAAAATGGGTCATCTAATGACCACACCCGATACTCAGGGGCATACCCAGTAACTTCATCCCGGGTGTTAAGCAAGTCTAGAAGGGAGATGGCCCACTATATCTGACTTCCACCCTAGGCATCACCCCAGCCCCAGCGTGGGATACTGCCCCATCCCCTCTGGCTCTACCTGGGTGGTGCACCCTGGCCACCCTATTTCCAGCACCTGCATTCCTTGGAATTTAGAGAATTAACAACCAGATCCCCCCCACCTCCCCAAAGCAGCGTCAAGCAATGGCTAGTGGGAACTGGTGTGTACTGTCTCAATGCCTTCCCTCCTGGGCGGGAAAACTTTGGAAGTACAACTTCTGCACTGGCTCCTATATAATAAGTGGCTTAATGACACTCCCTTTCTGGCTGCCTCCCTTTCTCTGTTTCACTGCCTCCAATGCCCTACTGGTGTTTCCCAGGATTCTCTGACCTCCATACAAACTAACGGTACCTGAATTCTTGTCTCGGGGTATTTCTTGGGGAGGAGGGGACGAGGGGGACTAAACTAAGACGCTCTCAGCTGCCTTCATCATCTCCAGGCCTAACTTAGCCTCGTCCCAAGACGCCTTCAGCAACTGCTCTGGTGCCAAGGGATCATGGGAACTGTCTTTACTGAAGACAGTCTGCAGGGTCACAGCTGATTTGGGATGAGGATGGGCTCTCCATGCCCCGAGGATTATCAACAGCCCAAAGCTGCACAAAGAAGAAACCTCGAAAAAGGTAATCATGGGAAAGGAATAGTGCAATGTGAGTAAGGAGGGCATGTTAGGTGGAAGAAGCCACCTGGATAGCCTTAAGGCACCACTGGCTGGGACTCCCTTACAGGGAGGAACTGGGAATAAGAGTAAATTGAAGCAACCCTGCCTCGCCTCTCCTCTGGTCCTGAAGCTACACCCCGACTCTTCTGCCTTTAAACCCACTGTTGGCTTCTCTGCTCTCAGTTACAGAACCTGCTCCTAGGTCTGCACCCTCCTCAGCCAGCTCTTCATCTCTTCTCTCCCCCAGGTCTCGGTCCATTGGCCTTCAGCCCTGAATCCTCTCCAGGGATCACAATTTTTTTTTTTTTTTTTTTTTTTTTTTTGCGGTACGCGGACCTCTCACTGTTGTGGCCTCTCCCGTTGCGGAGCACAGGCTCCGGAAGCGCAGGCTCAGCGGCCGTGGCTCACGGGCCCAGCCTCTCCACGGCACGTGGGATCCTCCCGGACCGGGCCACGAACCCGTGTTCCCTGCGTCGGCAGGCGGACTCTCAACCACTGCGCCACCAGGGAAGCCCGGATCACACTCTTAAACCTGGTCCTGTGCACAGCCACTAACCACTAAGCCATCTTAGATCCCTAGTGCAACGTGATGCTTCCTGTAATTGCTTAGCATTCGACCCCTTTTCTAAAACTGCCGAGGAAACTTTACCCCTTTGTAGTGAAGGCTACACCCATTTTGAATTCTGTGAAAGTCACAATCTGCTTAAAAAGAGTAACACTCCATCTTGACCTTCATTCTCAGTCCCCTGCCACCTCAATTATTTATGTGTTTATTACCTGATCCTTCTTTCTGTTGAAACACCTTCTTCACGGTCTGACAGGCTGAGCCATCCCCAAGGCACACGCCACAGCGATCCTCTGTGGCGTTGGAATCGATCTCATAGTCACAGCCGACCATCTGTGGGGAAGAGAGGTTGAGGACAAGTGACACAGGCGGGAGAGGCCACACCTGCCCCGGACTTTTGACTCCTCCTTCCCCCCCCTTTGCTGTGGATGAGACAGTGGTGGGGGGCAGATACAAGATAAAAGTTTTCCTTTCCTGGTGGTGGCCAGAAGAATACCCAAAGCACCCACTGATGCTAAAGGAAATACTTGCTTTGAGGGGAGAGAGGTGCACACTGAATGCATCTGCAATTTCCCCTGAGAGGCAGAATTGAACACACTTCCAAAAATGGAACCATGAAAATGTCTTGGAATCATTGTTGGTGGAGCAGCAAATCCCTTTCCGATGTGCAAACCTCATGCCCCCTCCTCTCTAATGAGATTCCCAGGGATGACGGAATGACTCCACCTATACTTAGTTGTTCATTCCCTTTACCTTCTTCACTGGGGATATTCTCTCTGGTTCCTGTCTGAACTGGCAGCCCTGGGGGAAAACCTGGCTTCATGCTGAGACCATTCCAGTCCCGTGAGGGATGAGATCTCGGACCTGCAGACCCATCAGCAGATCCTTTGGAGCCTCCTATGACCCCAGCCCCACCACCTGTCACATGTAGCCATATCCCAGCCATCCTGACCTCCTTCCCTCTAGCTGCAGAGGAGGAACTGGTCATTTCTCCCCTGAGCCAGGCCTAATCTTGTTCCTGTGCTCTGGACCTGACCCCTTCTCAGTGCTCTGTCCATTGGTCCTCCCAAGTCATCATCCTTCCCTCTGCACTGGTTCCTTCTCCTCCAGCCCCCAATACGGCCAAGCCTTTCCCATCCAATTCCCATTCTGGAAAAGGAGAGTAATGAAACTTGGGGTGTTTGGTAGCATCGAATACCAGAGAATCGTTAACACTCAGATGGAAAGTCATGGAAAACACGTGAACTTCCACTGGAGTCCTTTGTTCCTTGCTCTCTTCTACGGCCTATATTCCTTAAGCACATTTCAGTGGTAGAAGAAAGAGGAAAAGCTACACCATATTATATATATTTTTAAATTTTTATTTATTTATTTATTTATGTTTGGCTGCGTTGGGTCTTCGTTGCTGCACGCAGGCTCTCTCTAGTTGCGGCGAGCGGGGGCTACTCTCCTTTGCAGTGTGCGGGCTTCTCACTGTGGTGGCTTCCCTTGTTGCGAAGCACGGGCTCTAGGAGCATGGGCTTCAGTAGTTGTGGCGTGCGGGCCCAGCAGTTGTGGCTCACGGGCTCCAGAGTTCAGGCTCAGTAGTTGTGGCACACGGGCTTAGTTGCTCTGCGGCATGTGGGATCTTTCCAGACCTAGGGCTTGAACTCGTGTCCCCTGCATTGGCAGGTGGATCCTTAACCACTGCGCTACCAGCTAAGTGCCTACACCATATTATATTAATTGGATTTTTCTTCTCTGTTTGGGAAGAAGAATTGTGCCCAGGTAGTTTTTTCTCTCTCTCAAAGATAATTTCCTTTCTTATTTTAAAGCCACCTCAAATCGACTGAAAGGAAGAACCATTTAGGTCTTTAAATACACCCTCCCTCCACCTTAATTCTAAACAGAGAATTAAGGCCCACAGACAAAAAATAGCGCCATTACTCAGGTTAACCGTGTCTAACTTCCTTTAGATCCAAAGACGGTGCTCCTTGACCCAGTTGGGAAAAATAAACTGCTAAGAGATTAAAAAAACTTAACAACGCTAATCACAATGGAAAAGAAAGAAATTGTCTGGATGTGTGCCTTCACTGGTTATAAGCAAAATGCCAACCCGTCACAAGTGATATGTTTACGTCAAGCTTGAGCATCCTCTAATAAGCTGACCTTTACAAATCCTATTCTCAGTGACCGTCATTCCTTCACTGATTTGGAACCAGCAAGGGAAACATACTTTGCAACATACTGAAGTGTTTAAAAACAATCTCTACCAAGAGGGGATGGATAAAAAATGTGAAGGAAAAAGGAAAGAAAGCCAGAAAAACAAATACCTTGAGCCCATCTTTCTCCTCCAGCAATATTTGCCTGCATCCCTGGGGGGCAGGGGCGGGGAAGGAAACATACACACCCCAGTAGGCTGGCCCACGGCATAGTGCGTGGTTCTTGTGGAGACTGCACCCTTCTGTTCCTCCATCAGCTGCGCACAGCATAGTCAACACCGAACTGCGTACATAACCAAAGGCGGCAGAAGCCCGTCCTCCTTGCTATACATAAAATGTAAGGCTCTCAGGGGAAAATGAACAGACATTCCTCTCTTCCACGTCCTGTGCTCTGGCAACAGGGCCACAGCAATACTGTCTTTCAGCCGGATCAGAGGGGCTCTGATCCAGTATGGCTCTCCTTCGATGTGCCTCTAAGGAGGCCAGATAGCCTCCCAACAGGCTGCATTTCTTTTTAAAAAAAGAAAATCCCTTTAATTTCCCATCATTATTTCTTTCTTTTAAAAACAGCTTTCTTGGGGGGTGTAGCTGATATATAAAATACTACACATATTTAATTTTATAATTTGATGAGTTTGGACTCATACAAACACCTGTGAAACCACTGCTACAATCAAGGCAATAGACACATCTATCAGCTCCAAAAGTTTCCTTGCATCCCTTTTGTGTATGTGTGTGGTAAGAACACTTACCATGAGACCTACCCTCGTCACAAAATTTTAAGGGCACAATATAGTGTTGTTAACCACAGGCAATACGTTGTACGGCAGAGCTCTAGGACTCATTCATCTTGCGTAAATGAAACTTTATACCCATTGAACAGCAACTCTCCACTGTTCCCTTGACAACTACCATCCTCTTCTCTGCCTTGATGAGTTAGACTATTTTAGATTCTCATATAAGTGGAATCCTGTAGCATTTATCCTTCTGCGACTGACTTGTTTCACTTAACACAATGTTCTCCAGGCTCACCCATGTTGTCAAAATGTCAAGATTTCCTTCTTTTTTAAAGTTGAGTAATATTCCATGGTATGTATATACCACATTTTCTTTATCCATTTGTTGATGAACATCTGGGTTGTTTCCATCCGTGTCTTGGCTAGTGAATAACGTTGTTATGAACACGGGCGTACAGATGTCACTTCAAGATCCTGATTTCATTCTCTTGGATACATACCCCAGAACTGACATTGCTGGATCATGTGGTAAAAATTAAATATTTTTAACTTAATTAAAAAATAAATATTTTAATTTAATTAAAATAAATATTTTTAATTTTTTGAGGAATCTCCATACTATTTTCCATAGTGGCCGCACCATTGTACATTCCCACCAGCAGTGCACAGGTTTTCAATTTCTCCATATCCACACCAATACTTGTTATCTTTTGTGTTTTGGTAATAGCCATATTAATAGGTATGAGGTGATATCTCATGAGTTTCACTTGTATTTCTCTATGTTTAACGATGTTGAGCACCTTTTCATATACCTGTTGGCCATCTGTATATCTTCTTTGGAGAAACGTCTATTCAAGTCCTTGGCTCATTTTTTAAGTCAGGTTATTTGTATTTCTACTGTTGAGCTGTAGGAGTTTCTCATACATTTTAGATATTAACCCCTTATTGTATATATGGTCTGCAAATATTGTCCCGTATTCGGTAGGTTGCCTCTTTATTCTGATGACTGTTTCCTTTCCCATGCAGAAGTGTATCATCACTTCTTGACCCTATCATTTGAACTGAAGAGCATGCTATCTTGAGTATTACTTAGAGAAGTCAGGTCCCAGTCTTTCACTAGGCTTTCAGCCCTACGTGAGTGAATAAGTAATACGTATTCTTACCAATTCTCACTTCTTCCTTATGAGTTTTACTGTTTTACTTAGTAAATTCTCAAGTAACTGAGGACTGAAATACCAACTGGCGCCTTGGCCTAATCTACTTAGAATGTCGTCATTTCTTTCTACAGTCCCTTGGCAAAGGTAGAGACTGGAAAGATGCCTGGTTCCAAGAGGAGATTCATTCTCGGCTAATGAAACTTTAGTGTGAAGATAGTGCCAGTTATGCTTAACTGAGAACAGGTAAATGATATTGTCCTTTAATAAATGGGACAGCAGCAATAATGCTTTCCTCACCATAATTTTAAGGGCCAAGAGATAGGATGTGGCCTTCTAGAAAGACATCTGGCCCAGAGAAATTGATTTTGGGGTGTTCAGTCAATCACTGAGATGACCAAAATGGCCTTGAGAGAGAACAAAGAAGGTTCAGGAGAGTTTCTGAGAGCAATGAGAAGGTGGGCTAACTTAGGGCGGGTAGGAAGATTGTCGAGTAAGGTTAAGGACTCGGCTGGGGTTGAAGACACTGACTCTGTAAGGGCACAAATTCACAAAGTTGAATTATTATTTTAAGAAGTGTATAGTAGACTGCTTGTAAGAACAAAAAGTCATTGTGGTTGGGTTGGTCAGAATCAGGGTCCTGGGGAAAGAGGTTGATGGAAGGCTGAGAGGAGAAATCTAGGGGATGGCTGATGTGCAAGTTCAGGGCATCCAGGCTGTTTGGGGAAGAAATGAAGCCAAAGCTTTGCTGACTGGGAGAAAAGGGAAGAGTGAAGGAACTGAAAGTCAAAGAACTGGTTACCAAGAGAAAGGGGTGAGAAAGTTGTATGGTTAGCAGCCTGTCTTAAGACAGCAGGTAAGACTGCAGAGCTGGGACAGTTGGAAGAGGGGTGGGAATATCTGCTCATATATTTAAAAGCTTACTGCATGTTGTACTTGTGATTTAAAAAGCAAAGGAGAAAATAATTTAACTGTAAATACCACTTTACTTAAAAATCTTGGCCTTCTGTAGATACAGTAAAGTAACTGAAATAGTAGAAAAAAAAATTCAATAACTAGAAAAAAAGCAGCTTAGGAGTTCAGTACCAGTTAAAAAATTGGGGGAGGGGCACAGACAGATTCTTCCTAAAACAAATTCAGTTTTGATCAACGTTCGATAATTTCCTCGACAACAAAATCTGCAAATCTAAGATGCCAAAATGTTGGCAAATATCATAATTTCCAAATAGACAGCTAAGTATATAAGTATAAGCAAATACAAGTATTTATATGAATATAAGCAAATATTTTCATATCCACAAAGAAGATGAATTAGGCACATATATTTTTTTTTCTGATGGTGTAACTTTTTATTTCAATACACGTTCAATTCCCTTTGAAAAAACTGTGGTAAATGAATAAGAAGACTAACAAAAGCTGAAAATAACTACAATCTGGATCTTTAAAAGATAAATTGTATTTAGGCTATTAAGGTAAACTTGATTGGACATATTTTTTTCTGCTTAAAAACTTAACTCAGTGTGGTGTAGACAGAAAGTAATTAAAGCTTCTAAAAGGCCTTAACTGGTTTCCAGAAAGAAAAAGGCAAGCTGAGAGAATTTGGCTTATTCTATTAAGCTGATTTAACTGGTTTCAAGAGAGATACACAAGACCCCTTATGTTTTGTTCAAAATATCTGTTTTTTCCATCACAAGCTAAAGATACTGTCTCTATGCATGCAAAGGTATTTAGGTCTAAAAGATAATTTTAGCATTACATTCATTTTTTGATGACTAAAGTTCTCAGCCCTAGCAGCATATGGCAATCACCTGTGGAGTTTTAAAAATACCAATGCTCAGGACCAAGTCACAGCTACTCTGAATTAATAGGGTGGAGATAGAGCCAGGCATCAGTAGGTTGTAAAAGCTTTCCAGGTGATTCTAATAGGCAGCCAGGCCTGAGAACCACTGTATTAAATGGCAATGGGACTGTTTGGGCCTAAGTTAGCTAAATAAACTTTTTCCTGCTCTAGGGAACAGGTCTAACCTAAAATATATTAATTATTTTTGGCTCTTTGTAGCTACAGTGGTAATCAGTGTGTCAGGAAGAGAATTCTGCCTGAGCCCTTTCCAATTTAGAGTCTGATTATGGCTTGTTGTTAGCTCACAGTCCTGGGAATCATCATGTTGCCTCCTGTGCCTTGGTCACTACTGGAATAAGTCCATCAGTAACTGCAAGGTGATAAATTCACCTTCCCAGGGTGCTAACAATGTATGGGCAGGAGCTTTTCATGGCAACAATTTGGTCCAGTGGAAAAAATTGTGATAATTATTTGCAAAAACAAATAAAATATATTAAGAGTTTATTGTGTGCCAGGGGCTCTGTTAAGGGCTTAACCTATATGGCCTTATTTAATCTAAAGTATGTTAATATCCCAATATTATGAAAGATAACTGAGTCTTAGAAAGATGTATAGAGTTATACAGCTAGGAAATAGTGGTATTGGGTTCATATTCTAGAGCCTGAGCACTAAGCCATTATGCTTTACTAATAGTTAATTGAGTATTTTTATATAGTTTCTTTTTTCACTGATTAAAAACACCTCTTTAAACTGAGATTTAGGCCTGAGTGTTGGATCACGAAACTTGTTCATCAGTTCCTTGCAAAACAGACTGTGAGCAATGGGGATAAATTCTTCAATGTTTGTACACATAAAAGCATTAAAAAATCAGATCTAAGTACTTTATATAAAGGCAGAATTTTTTTTTTTTTTTTGCGGTACGCGGGCCTCTCACCGACCCAGCCGCTCCACGGCACGTGGGATCTTCCCGGACCGGGGCACGAACCCGCGTACCCTGCATCGGCAGGCGGACCCTCAACCACTGCGCCACCAGGGAAGCCCTAGGCAGAATTTTTTAATGGAGTCAATGTGAAAAAGTGAAATCGAAATCAGAAGACCTGGTTTATAACTACCTGTCATGCCATCTGTCTTCCTACGGAGGTCATGTTGGTGATCAATGGAGAATGAAATGTCAAAATGCTCTGTGAAAGACACTATACAATTATTAATTTCAGTTTTTCCTCGAATGTAACTAACTCTGTTGGCAAAGCAACCAACAAACAATTCAATACCACTGAAATGATCCGAGTTGCCTTTTCCTAGTGATTTTCCCGCTTTAAGTTGGTACTTCTTCAACTTGACCCAGCTTCATGCCTAAAATAATATCACCGAGCACATCAACAGATCAAGAAGTAAAGACGGGGCTTCCCTGGTGGCGCAGTGGTTGAGAGTCCGCCTGCCGATGCAGGGGACACGGGTTCGTGCCCCGGTCCAGGAAGATCCCACGTGCCGCGGAGCGGCTGGGCCCGTGAGCCATGGCCGCTGAGCCTGCGCATCCGGAGCCTGTGCTCTGCAACGGGAGAGGCTACAACAGTGAGAGGCCCGCGTACCGCAAAAAAAAAAAAAAGAAATGAAGACGACAGCAGGAGGACATTCAGCTCCTAACTGTGATTTTGATGAACACTGAAAAGTCTTGTCTCACAGACCGTATAAAAATACCAGACCACATGCAAATACCGCGAAAGCAAAAGATTAGCACATCTGACTTCCCGAATTAATAAAAGTCATGGTTTTATAAAGTTGTAGATTAAGGAAACATACCCAATACCTTACATATGCCATTAATACAGACATTTCTGCTGTTGCCGCCTTCAAAGCAAGGGGTACCATCAGTGACAGCATCCAGCATTTTCTCGGAAAACTGGCCATCTATGGGTCGGCAGTAGAGCTCACAAGGACGTGCTGAAGTGAAAAAGAGACAAATCCTTGCAAGTTAGCTTTCTTGCTCAGCACCCTTCCCCCAGGATTTTGTATGTATGAATCCCCAAGTGTCATTCATCTGGAGATTCCCATCTTTTCCCTTTCTGTGACACATGCTTCTTTCTGTTAAAGCATTTTACAACAAATTAAACTGGGAAGATTGCTTTAAAATGCTACGCCTCTCGTTACAAGTGATGAGACCTTTAAATCCCCTGTTGAACTGTGCTTGTAAAAATAAGGCAGTGAGCATCTGGGGTTAACCTAGAAAATAAGTCATAGCAACCAGTGATGCAGAACTCCAGACAAGCATCATGTTTGCCTGGTATTTTGCAGCAAAGTTAGCAGACCACCAGGGGAGATGCTCCCGTGGGGCCAGCTCATTACTAACACCACTACCACTATCATAAACCACCCCCAACAAATATTCTCCCTTGTTCTCCTCGAGTCCAAGAAGTCCTTGGACATAGGTTTACAACCACATAGAAACAAAAGATCTGCTGTTTTGCTAAAGCAGAAGCCACCTTGCTTATCATAGTGGTCCATCCCATCATGCTGGGTCCTGCACTGAATCCATTCTAAGGTTCAATTTTCTGTTCCCTGGTGAGTGATCTCCTGCACAGAATCGTTCTAAAGATTTACTTAATAAAATGTGTATCTATATGTAGGTACTTCGAATAACCAGAAAAAGAGGTAACTTTTAAAATATAAATTGTCCTAAAAATTTTAATAGGTAATATCTGTATATGATAAGAATTCAAAGAGTTAATTTTCTTTGAATGTTACGTCTTTTTCTCTTTAAGTGAAAAATTTGAGAATATCCTCTTCAGAAAGATCCTTTGGGGATCTCTTCTGGGTCTGTTTACTGGGGCAAGGGCTGTTAGTTTCTTGGTGGTGTGACCAGCTGAGGGCTCAATGAGACTACCCGTAAGGCCGTTTGACTTGGACCCACCTCAGTGTGGATGGGCCCCAAATGCAAGGCCAGTGTGCACAGCTCTAGGTAGGGCTGCTCAAGGATGCAATGGTCCATGTGGTAAAGAAATAAAAGTGTACAGCTTACACCAATATAACTTAGAGTAAAACTCAAACACTGAAACTCTGGAGGGACTTGAGACAATTTCTAAAGCATCTGTTTAAAACTTAAAGGAGAAAGGTAAAAGCAAATAAAGAATACCAACTGATTTTATATAAACTGCAGTGGATAAGTTGTCTGAGAAAATGAATAAAGTTAAAATGAGTTGGAGAGATCACAAAGTGCCATCGGAAAAGGGCCAGCAGACTCCGGAGACAAGGCATAATTCAGTATTACTATAAATCTTCATTCCTGGCAGCATGATTAGCTCTGTGACTGCCTGAACTTGAATAGAAGTGCTTAGAGGGAGCCACCTGGGAGCAATTCTGCTCTCTGAGAGATGAGAGCATCCATCCAGGTGTGCTGAGTCCAGGGAATCATTTCAGGAAACATCAAGTAGAAGGATGGAGGCAGAGGAAACACTTTTTCAAAAGCTTTGATTTGAGCTTTAGAATTTAGATTTGAGATTTTCTATTTGGACACATGAAGCACAAAGACAAAGCAGCCCTCAATTATTCTGGAGCTTTTCTAAAGGAATTACCTGTTCCAGCCTGCTGGGGAGGGCTGGGACTAGAGGTGCCTGAGGGTGCGAATTCTAAGAAGGCATTCACTCTCAGGGTTGTAAAAAAACGGGTCCTCACAGCAAGTAAACCCCCATCCAAAGGCAAGCATTGCACTGAATTCCAGAATGGTGAGGTTCCAATGTCTGCCTTAGTTTTACTCCCTCTGGGCTTGTGCTGTTTGACTCCCTCGCTGAAGGATGAAACTACCCAGAGGCTTTTGCTAGTCTTGTCTATTTAGTGAGCTAAGGGAAAGTTGCTTTGTTCAAATAACAGCCAATGTATTACTTAAACGTTATTTTCCAGATCTTCTTGTGCTTTGCAGGGGTTATCTGATTTCATTTTAACCATCACAACTACCCTATGATGTGAGTTCTTTTATTATCCCCATCTAGAAGAGAAAACTTAGGCTCAGAGAGATTAAGTTTTCCAAGATCTCACAGTATGAGTGGTGCAGTAGAAGCTGATGGTTTAGCTTAGAGCTCATGCTATTAACCCGTAACCTACAGGCACAGAATTATTTTTAACAAAAAACAAATGCTTTGATGAGATATTTAAAGTAACCACTCTTCGTGTTATTAGGCAATGCATTTATTCATGGATCATATCTGAGAAACAAACTTGGTAGAATACCCACTGGACTCCATTATAATCATCTTTCATGGGTCTTAAATATGGTGAGAATCATTAGCCTCTAGAGCCATTACTTCTACAGAGAGCAGATGTAGCAGATTCTAGCTCATGAAGGTCTAATATTACCTTGAGAAAGTTACTTAACCTTTCTGTGACTCAGTTTCCTCATCTGAAAAATGGGGATAATAATACCTACCCTGCAGGGTAGTTAATAGTGAGGATTAAGACAGAGACTGTATGTCAAGCACTCAGCGTGGTACCTGGTATACAGTAAGTGCTTGACAAATGACAGTTGTTATGGTTGCTGATTTCACCTCCTTATCATGACCTGGTGAATTCTAAAGGTCCTTGCAGTTACCCCATAAGCTATGCTTCTATCATTCCAATCTTCTTTCAGAGCAGTCAAAAGCCGGCTCAATTCTCTTTCCCACACATATACCAATCTTTCCTGAAATATCCTCTTGTCCTTCAGATTTTTCCATTGTACCATTTCTAATCAATTCTGCACTGATTTCATGCTTTGTTTTACCATTTTCTAAATAATCGCTGTCTTGTCAGTTTAGCATAAAGAATTCTATATTCTGCTAGGTCAGTAGGTGGTTCCATGACTTCCCTTTTCTGTGACTATGAATCTGGTTCAAAGCTGGTACAATGCCTACTGAGGTCCTCCCGGCTCTATGCTTCCAAGACTATAGATTTTACAAGCTCCTCAACCAAACTGCAATGTCCTCAAGGGCACCCCAGCCACCTGCGCATTGATCAGCTGCTACTGGCGCCCACAGTGTGAGAAGGAGGAAACAGACACACACTGGTGAGGACTGAAAAGCACAGGAGGAGGCTCTCCTTCACATGGGCGTTGGAGTTAGATGCATAGGGGTTCAGATCCCAGCCCTGACTCTTACTTCTTGCCCAAGGCCTTCTTGGTCTCTGCAAAGAGGGGACTGTCAGAGGATAGCATACTGAAACCTCTAATAAGCTATCTGGTTGTTTAAATGTGGTAGTTATAACCATTAACCTTTCCTAATGAATACCAGCAGATCATCACACTCAGCAAAGGCTCTTAACCCATGTTTACTAATTAACTGACATGGCAGTGATCGATACTGTTAGGGAGAAACCTTTGGACCAAATGGCGAAGAGATCAACTCGATCCTAAGAGATTATCAACTCATTCATAAAAATGAACCTTGACCTTAGTGACAGAGGTCAAGGATGTTCATTGCAGCAATTAACTTTTTATCCAGGAAGAAACGGACAAATGAATTAATTTGCATTTACATAATGGAAGGCTATGCAGTCACTAAGAGGAATGAGGTGAGCCATAATGCCATGGTGTTCTGCTCCATGAGTCAAAAAGTTGCAGAACTGGCAAAGTATGAGTCCATTTGTGCGCAAATGGAAACCTGCAGTTAACAACGCTCGCCTCTGAGGAATAAGTGTGGTGGGCTAAGAAGAATCTATTTTTATTTCATTCTATTGCATACAATTGCATTTTTATAAGAAGCATATATTCATTTTATAAATAATGTCTTGGCCCTCAAACAAGAAAACTGGAAAGGTCTCTTTTCCCCTGTGATAATCATGACACATCTCTATGAGGAGAGGCCCTCATTTTGAGACTTTATCTTGCTTCTGTGATACTGGATTTGTACATCCTTCAAGATTAGACACACTAACTGAAGTAAGGAAGAAACAGATTTCTAGGGAATGTAAGTACAGTGGTCTATGGAGTCTTAGGAATACCTAGTAAATAATCTGTGCTAAAAACAACAGCAGCACACAGACCTGCTGCTGTGACCCCCAGCGCCTGCACACCTATGACCCACAGGAGTGCCCAAGGCCAGAAGGAACGCTGTGCTCGAAAGTGGCCATTGTGAATTGAAGGTTCAGGGCTACTGAAGCAGTCTACAAGGTGGACTCTGAAGTCCTGCTTCCCTGCCCTTTCGTCTGGCCTCTCTGTCTTTCCTGGCGCTCTGGGTATGTCATTAGGTGGGCCTGTGACACAGGGCGCTGCCCCAAGAGGCAGGAGGAGCAACGGATGGTCTTAGTTCTCGAAGGTCAACCCGACTATCAGAGAGTCTCTCTCCCAGATACCAACCTCATCGGTTCCATAACATCCACAGAGTTGAGGGTTTCACCGTCTCAGGTACGCTCATCTGCCTAGACACATCCTTTCGTCGGGCTCGCGTGATTTTTTTCTTCTAGCTTTGCAATCCATTTTTTCAGCTGAGTGAAAACTCTAAAACTAGTGGACTGGTGAACTCTCCCCTCACACTGTCTGATTAATCCTCTCAAAGGAAGCTTAGGCAACTGAATGAACTCACTGGATCGAAGGCTGAATTTTCAATTCTGCTAAAATAGGGCGGCCCAACATTTTTGGATAATGATCTTACGAAGTGATCGTTAGAAGCAAACGCTAAAACTTGCTAAGAAGGATAAAAATTATTTCTTAGGTCAAGGAAAAATTTGAGTGCATTTCATGTTCTGTGAGTAGATTGCAATTTGAGTTTCACCATTTAAAAAAATCCAGTTTCTAAAATCCATTTACATGCAGGGCTCCTTGGGTGTGAGTCCCGTGCGGTCACCCTGGGCCTCACACTTGGTTGAATGTTCTGTTGTCACTGTCTTAAAACTCTTAATAATTTTACGTCTGAACTTGTGCCTTGTAAGTGAAGTCTGATTGGACAATGGAACACGTGCATGAGCAGAAGAGATCTGCG